AGAATAAGAATAAGAATAAGAATAAGAATAAGAATAAGAATAAGAATAAGAATAAGAATAAGAATAAGAATAAATGAATGAATAAGAATAAATGAATGAATAAGAATAAGAATAAGAATAAGAATAAGAATAAGAATAAGAATAAGAATAAGAATAAGAATAAGAATAAGAATAATAATAATAATAATAATAATAATAATAATAATAAGAATAATAATAATAATAATATTAATAATATAATGATTTTTATTAAAATTAAGAATTTGGAAATAATGTTTAAAATTAAGTTTTTTAAAGTATTAACAAAGATTAAATAAATTAAAACTAAAATAACGAATAAAATTTAATAAATTAATTAGAAAATAATTAAAATGAATTTGATTTGTTTGAAAATTAAAATAATTAATAATTTTTACAAAATGTTTAATAAGATTAAATATAAATAAATGAAAATAATTAATAATATGTTTAAAAATAATAAAATCTAAATTAAGATAAAGCTGAATTTTAAGTTTAATAAATTCATTAAGAACCTTTATAATAAGAACATATTAATTAATAAAAAAACGAAAATATATATCATAATCAAAATTCTTAAAATGAAGATGAACTTTTTGGAGAATTTGATAATAATGATAATTAAAATAAAGAAAAAAATAATAATATTAGCAATTCTGAATATAATTAATAACCTAATATTGAATAAACTAATTAAATTTAAAATGAATTTGAAGAAAATAATAATAAAAATGAAGATATAGAATGTTAAGATGATTTTCTTTTTAAATAAATAAATATAAAAAATATAGAAAATTCAATTATTTAAAATAATAATTAATTTGATAATTTTTAACAAATTTAAAATATTTAAAAACATGAAAAAGTTAATGATAATAATATTTAAAATAAAGAAAATATAAATAAATAATAGACTGATAATAATGACGATTTTGATTTCGGAGATTTCGGAGAATCTTAATGTACAAAATAATAATAATCAATTATCTTAATATAGAGTTAAGAAAAAAAATTCAAGAATAATAATAAGATTTATATAAAAATTAAAATAATGAGTTTAATAATATTTAATAAGAAAATTAATAATAAGAAAAAATAATTATTAATTAAATAATAATAATAATCAAGATGATTTTGATGAGTTTGGCAATTTCGAATAAGTACATACAAAAATTAATCAAAATTATTAAGATGTTCCAGAAACAACTTAAAATTAAGAAGATTATGTATAATAAAATGTATAGTAAGTAAACGAATAAGATTAAGAAGATGAATTTGGTGATTTTAATGAAATATAGCCTTAAAATCAAAATTAATTACCATAATAATAATAAAATATTTAGCAAGAAGAAGTTACAAATTAATGTAAAAATCAAGAAGAAGAAGAAGAATTTGGAGATTTCGAAGAAGCATAAGAAGAAAAAGAAAAAAATATATAAAAATAAGAAATTAAACATAATTATGAAAATGATGATAATTTTGGTGATTTCGAAGAAGTTTAACCTAATTAATAAATATAAAATAATTTAAAATAATATTCGAATTAGTAACCATAAAATGAATAAGATTTTGTAAATTCTTAATTATTTAAAAATTATTTAAAAAATAATAAATATATATATATATATAAATATATATATATATATATATATATATTTACATATATAAAAAAAAAAAATTGTATATATATATATTTACTTTTTTTAATAGACTATTATTGGTAGAGATTAAAATTATTTATAATATTTAAACTTTTCTATAATTTAAAATTTAAATATAATTTCAACATAAAGTTTAATGCGAATTAACTTAAAAGAAAATAATGAAATTATTATAAATAAATAATAAAATATTCTTAAGTAATTATTTAGTTAATTTATAAAATAAAAAAAATAAGATTTGAAGATATTTATAATGAATTAAATAAAAAATCTTAAGGAAATGAAAACTAAAGAATAATTACTGAATTATATAATGATAAAAAATAGACTATAGGAAAACCAAGATATAAACATGAAAAAAGTAACTAAAACAAATATTAGAAAACATTTTATTTTTATTAAAAAAAGAATACATAGAAGATCCAATAAAAAGTACATAAATATAATATCTAAAAACAAATAAACTTATTTGGTAAAATTCGTATTGCAGAAAATAGTAAATATTATATATTTATTGCAATATTATATTGTATTTAATATTTAATATAATAAAAGATTATTTGATAATTTAAGATTAAAAATAGAAGATAATTTTAATAAACAAGAGATGATTCAAAAGTACAACATAATATTGAAGAAGCATAAGAAATATCATATAATGATGATTATAAATAAAATGTTTATTTATAACAAAAAAATTCAGATAATGAAATATCAAATATAAAAATTGAAAAAAAAATGCTTTAAATATAATAATAATAAAATCAAAAAATAATATAAGATTAAAAAATAATAATAATAATAATAATAAAATTAAAAATAAATATAAGATAATTTAATTTAAAATTAATAATAATAAGCTACTTATGCGTAATAAAATAACTTATATGAAAATAATATTAATTAGAATAAAAATGAATTATAATAAAATAATAACTATATATAATAAGATTTTGATTATTATGCTGATTTTAACGAATAAAAGTAATAAGCTATATAAATAGATTCTTAAGCACTAGAATATATAAAATAATTACCAAATTTAAAATTTGTATATTCGAAATCAATAAGTTATCCACCAGCTTTATTTTCATGATATTTTTATTCTTTTATATTAAAAAATTTTTATTTATTTATATCTTTTATGTTTTTTTTTTTTTTTTTCAATATGAAATTAAATATTAAGTATCATCTTTAACAAATATATTATATATTTTTTTAGAAAGTACTTTTCCTAATTTCTTTTCTACTTTGCCTTTTTATCCTTTATAAATTATATTAACTAGTAATTTTTCTCTTAATTTTTCTTCTAAAAAATAAAAAAAACATGAAAAAAATTATTATTATTTATATAAATAATTCTCAAAAAAAAAAAAATACCTTATAATTCTAAATAAGCATTCATTAATTTTTTATAACTATTATATATTTTAGCTATCCCTACAGCTTTTTTTTCACTTATTTAATTAATTGACATTAGCATTTTTATCCAAATTTATTCATAAAATCCATTTAAACCTTTAAAAATAAATAAAAAAAAAGAAATAAATATATATATATATATATATATATATATATATATATATATATATATATTTTTATTTACCTTCTGCTGTAGCTAATTCTAGATTTTCTTTTGTTTTAGTATCGTACATTCCTAATTATTTTTTATATTTTGATTTAATAATGGACTAAACACATTAATTTAAATACTCTTAACTTTCTTTATAACCATAAGTAATTTTCTAGTCTATATCATATAAAATTCCTAATTAACATAACCAATCTTATAAATCACTATCTGTTGCAATATTTTCTTATTCTGAATCGATAAAAATTTTTTTTAAAAAACCATTTTTTTATTCTTCATTTGTCATTTATAAAATTTAATTTTGCAATTATAATGAAATAAACATGTCTTTAATGTCTTCTAAAAGTAGTACATTTTTACAATTTTATTCTTTTTTTTTAACTATTTAGTTAGTTAATTCTTCCAAGGTATTATATTGACTAAATTATTATCTGTTATAGTATAATATATTTAATTTTAATGTTTATTCTATAATTTCTTCATATTCTTTTTAATTTTTCTCAATTTATTATTCTTCATTAAGGCCATATTTTTAAAATATATCACTTAATGCTTTTGATTGTTAGCTTTTATCACTACATTTTTTTGTTTTTTGATCTTTTTTTCTTTTTATGGTGTAAAATTTTAATTAGTTATACTCTAAGTAAGGCATTTTTTATACTTCTATATCGGTTTCAAGGCATTAGTTATAGAAATCTTGAAATTATTGAAGAATATTAAAGTTTTCACCAAATTGTAAAAGAATGTCTTCTGTTTTTCCTGAATTTATAGATATTTTCATTTTTTACTTTTTCTTTTTTTTATTTTTTAAACAGTATTTTTTTTATTTTATAAAATTTGGAATGTATTTTTTTTATTTTATAAAATTTGGAAGGTATTTTTTTTATTTTTTGAATTCAAAATTAAAAAAGTGTGCTTTTTTTTAATTTCAAAAAATATGTATATGATATTATTTATAAAATAAAAAATTAGTATATTAAAAATTTATATGTTATTATTTTTTAAATTTAAAAATAAAACATTTTCAAAATAAAAGCTTATTTTATTTTCTTTGTATAATTGGGGAATTTCAGATATATAAACTATTAGCTTTTAATCTTTAACATTATTTAAATTCACTAATGTAAATTGAAACTCTTTCTTTTAAATTTTAGTAATCATCTATTTTTTAAGAAGGGTTAGTAATATAAATATTCATATTATCTAGCCAATTATGTAATCTTTGTTTAAATTAGTTATTTTTTATATATTTCTATTAAAATTATGTTTTAAATTAATTTAAATAATTGAATAATATTAAGAATTTAAATTTAATAGAAGATTGTTTTTATTTAATTTCAAATAATGAAAATTTATAAATAGATAATTTTAGGAAAAAATAAAAAAAAATTGCTTAAAAATATTGTGGAAAAAAATTTGCATTATTTATATATAAATATATATATATATATGTATATATATATATATTATATATATATATATTATATATTATTTATTATTTAAAATTAAAATTTTAATTTATTTTCATATATATTTTAATTTTATATGTTATATTAATTTTTATATGCTTATTTAAATATATAAATAATGTAATTTAATATTATGTTAATTATTTTTTTATAAAAATCATAAATTAATATATATATAAATATTATATATTTTTTTGAGATATTATATATGTAAATTCTATAAAAAAAAGTAATTATATTTTATTTTTTTATAAAAAAATGTCAATTATCATGAAATTTTGATAGAGATTTTTAAATATATGAATTATCATTACTATTAACTTCAGTTTTCTTATTTTCACCTCCTTCATAGCTTTCATTTTCTCTTTTTAGTTATTTTATTTGAGCATTTAATTTGTAATTTTCACTATTTAATTTATTAATGAGTTTTAATATTCTGGCATATATTTTATCAGGTTCAAATTTTTCATTTACAGATTCAGGTAAATATTTTCTTTATAAAATATTAGCTGAAACAATAATTTTTCTTAAATATTCTTATAATTTATCAGCAGTGGAAATTTTTACAATTCCTTCCATTGTTTTAAGCATTTCTATTGGATCTCTAATTTCAGCTTGTGGACCATTATCTTTTTTTCCTAGAGGATAAACCTTTTAAATATAAAAGATATATAAAAATTTAATAAATATTTATTTATTTTTAATTACTTCTTTACTTTATGAATGCCATTTAATAAAAACTTATTATAATTTTTTTTATAAAAGCATATAATTAATTTTATATTCTTCAGCATCTCTTAATTCCATTTCTTTTTCTTTTAATTTTTCTAAATTTAATTTCATTAATTTATCTCTAGTAGTATCATTTTATCTAAATTAATCAATTTATTTATCAAATTTTTCCTTTATTTATTATTTTTCTATTTCTATCATAATATTTTTTTCTTCTAATTCAGTTATTTTTTTATTCAATTCCAAACATAAATTCTCTAACTTTTCGTATTTATTTATAAATTATTTAGAATCTAGTTCAGGAAATTTAGAATGTAATAAAAGATATTAGGGAATAAATTTCTCTAATTCAGATGAGTCTTTCTTTAAAACATTAAATTAAGTGTTTATTTAATCTATATCTTTTTTGAAACATGAGTTTTTCCAGTTTTAGTTTTCGTTCTAAGTTTAAAGTTCAACTATGGTATCTTTTAATTATTCGGATTCTTTTCTTAAAATTTCATTTTCTCTTAATAATTTTTCAACTTCAGAAATCATTTCACCAGCCTATTAATTTATATATGTTTAATAAAATATATAAATAAATAAATATATATATATATATATATATATATATATATATATATAAATATTATATTTTTACTGATTTCTAAATTTCATTCTGTGCATTTTCAATTATTTTTTATTTAACTTTTAAATTTAACATTTCATTTAAAGTTTTAAATGATTTTTCTTTAATTTCTTATATAGCTTTTTTCCTTGGATGCATACTAGCTTATTCTTATGAAGACTTAACCAAAACTCCTATAATTTTTTCAGGTTTAAAATTTTTTTGGTGTTCATTTAGGCCTTTTCGTAATTTTTACGAAGTATTTTTTGATTAAAAAATTTCTTTTATAGATCTTTGTTAATCTTCGGTTTATGGTTCTAATTTAGTATATAAATAATTTCCTTTTTTATCAAAAACCATTCGATGATATTTTCGTTTGAATTCTAAATATTCTTCTTCAGATATTTTCATTTCTTTATCCATTAAATCTTCAAAAGCATATTCGGCTAAAGAATTAGTTATTCGAATATTATTTGAATTATTTACATTATTAGGGTTTATTCTATTAATATTACTATTATTATTTAAATTTTTATTATTATATACATTATTATTATTATCATTATTTATTTTTTAAAATTCAGAAAAACAATTTTTTTAACTGTCTTTTTTCAACTTTTATATTGATCGAGGACTAACACATGTTACTTTTGTAAATTTTTCCCTTAAATTTTATTATTTTTGTGTTAACGAATCATGTATTAAACTATTTTAAATTGCAGTTTATGGCCTAGTTGAATGAGATAAATTTTTTTACACTTTAAGATATATTTATTTTTAAATTATTATCCATTTTTTTTATTAAAAATGCTGTTTTTTTTTATATATATATATATATTAAAAAATAAGAAACTGTTTATTTGAAAAATTCTTTATTTTTTTCTTAATTCAAACAAAAAAAAATACTTTTTTTATATATGTTTTGATAAAATTTATCAAAAAATATATATTATATTATAAAATAAATATATAAAAATTTAAGAAAAATACAATTAAAAAAAAAGATTATCTTTATATTTAAAAACAATTATAAAATAATTGTATATCTTTGTAAATAATAAATAATAAAAAATTTTATATATAAGATATGTAATTAATATTACTATTATTATAATTATTATTATAATTATTATTATTATTATTATTATTATTATTATTATTAATAATAATAAATAAGTTCATTTTCTTTTATTTTTACAAATAATATAAAATTATTAAAAATATTCAATATTAATAAAAAAAACTAAATCTATACATTCAATATAAAAAAATTAAATAAAATTTTTTTTAATATATTTTTTGAGTTTATATATTATTATCATTTAAACCTACTTAAATAAGATTATTTATCTAATACTTTTTCTATATTTTAACTTTCTTTTTATAAATACTATTGTTTTTTCTAATTTATTTCATAAACTCTGGCTTCTTTCATTTAAACTTCCCTTTATTTTACTTTTTAAAAACAATTTTCACTACCTCCCATTAAAAAAGAATCTTCGAATTCATCCATGTCATCTTTAGGACCATTTAAATTTCTATTAAGACCTCTCTTTTTTTCCAAAATAGCTTCCTTGCCAATTTTTTTAGGTATTAGTTCATCCAACAATTCTTAGTTTTTTCTAGCCTCTTATTTTTTATGAATTTTCTATAGATCTATTTATTATTCTTAATCATATTTAAGTTCATTTTTAGTTTTATTAAAATTTATGTCCATTTATTCAATAGGTTTTTTAAAAATTTCTTAGTGAATTTTATCGTCTTTGGAAAAATCATATTCTTAAAATTAATCTTAAATTTGAATTTTCCATTTATCTTTTTAACTCAATAAATTTCCATATTTTTAAAGTAGTTTATCCTAATCATAAAATATAGATTTTAACTTTTTTTTATTCCATTTTTTAACAAATTTGGCAAAATATTTATATGCTTTATTTGTTGAAATATCTTCAAAATTTTTTTTTTTCTTTTTTTTTAACCATATTGAAAATGTTTTATTCATTCGAAAATAATCGTCAATTTTGTCTAACTTTTACATTCTTGTATTGTTTCAAAAATATTTTATTTATATATAATATTAAATATTATAATTTAATATAAATAATTTATTTATTTATCTTAATAAATTTTTAATTGAAATTTATTAAATAATATGAGTTAAAATATAAAAGAGTATAAATTTTAATTTATTATAAGTCTTTAAAAAATTATTTTAGCAATTTCTTTTCCTTGTTAAATATAAGTTTTGTGGAAAAGAGGTTTTTTATTTATAATTATAAATAATACAAATTTAATTTTAGGAACTAAAAAACTTGAAAGTCAACCATCTAATTTAGAAAATGGAATTGTTAATTTTAATGAAAAATTAAATTTATAAACAAATTTATATTTAGATGTTGAGAAATAGTATTATATGGAAAAAAAAGTATTAATAATTTATTAAATAAAATCTATAATAAAATATAATAAAGACAACTTTTACTATAGTTATAAATAGTACAAAAGGTTAAAAAGTTGCAGGATAATGTTCATTAGATTTAGCTTCATATGCAAATAATTTTTTAAAAGAAAAGCAAGAATAATTAAAATTATAAAAATGTCCAGATAAAAATGCTTTTTTTGAATTTTTTATGTAAATTTAATTAATTGGTTAAGTAGATTTTGACGCTATGAGGTTTTTTTTTTATTATTATTTTTAAATTAATAAAATTAAATATAAATTAGTGTATAATCTTCGGCTATATAATAAGGAAATTATTAAGGTTAAATATTTGAGAATAATTTAAATACAGAATAGGAAGTTAATATTTAGATGAGAGATATTAAAAATTTAAAAGAATAAAAAAGTGAAGGAGATGAAGAAATAAAAAAATAAAAAAAGAAAATTAAATTTTGCTTGATAAATGCTAAAAATATGAATTAAATATTAAAAAAATAAATGAAGAAAATTTGAAATTAAAAAAATAAATTTTTAATTATTAAAAAGAAAAAGAATAAGAAAAATAAAATTCAGAAAAAGAAAATTTTTAGTAAAATAAAGAAGAAGAAATTAAATTATTAAAAATACATTTGGAATAAATTTAAAAAGAAAATGAAGAAATTTCAATATAAATGCAATAATTAGAAGATTAAGAAAGAAATAACCTTTAAAATTATGAACAAACTATAAATTAATATGTTGAAAAAGCGCAAGAAGATGAAGAGAATATTGAAAATTTGTATAAATAATATAAAATTCTAAATGTAAATATAAAAATATATATATATATATATATATAATAATATATATATAGATATATCTTATATTAAATAATAATAATAAAAAGGACGAATTAACATTAAAATAAAATCTAATATTAGATCTAAATAAAGAATTAAAAAAATAAGAAAAATCTTTATAAAAAATGGATGATATGAAAAAAACTATTGATTTTTTATAATAAGAACTTGTAAAATCAAAATAAAAATTAGGAGAAATATATAATAAAACGATATAAATTGGAGGACCTTAACTTTTAGAAAAAATAACAGTTTGAATTTGTTTAAATATTAAGAAATCAAAAATTATATATAAATTATTTTAAATAAATATTTATTTATTAATAAATTTTTTTTTTTGAAAAATGAAAATATTTAATATTTCTATATTAAAATTTAATTATAATAAAAAATATATATAGAAAATTAGAAAATTAATAATTTTTTAAAAATTATAATAAGATAATATATATTAAAAAAAATATGGAAAAATATCACTATTATTTAAAATTTATGAAATATGTTAAACAAAATTATTTATTATATATGTATTTTTTAATTTTAAAATATTAATATATAAAATAAAATAAAACAAAAATCTATATAAAAATATCTTTTAATGTTTATTCATTTACTAAAAATTATAATAAAAATAATAATTAAAAAAATATTAAAATAAATAATAATTAAAAAAATAATCGATATGTAAAGCGACTTATAGCCCAGTGCGACTTATATGTCTTTTAAGATTGATATATATATATAAATATTTATATATAAATAAATAAATAATATATATATATATATATATATATTTAAATATATTTTTATAAATATTTGAAGGTTTTTGTGTTTAATATTTTATTATTAAATTAAAAAGTTAAGCAAAATTTATTTTAAATATTACACACTAATAATCACAATATCTATTTATTTAAAAACAGATTTAATGTCTCATAAAAATTAATAATTATATTAAATTAGAAAATAACTATTAAATCAGTTAAGTTGGTAATGATTAATTAAAGCTTTCTTTTACCCTATTCATGGTTGTTTTACCCAAATCAAACATCTTCGGTATATCCACCTTATATTCATTTCATAAAAAGGAAAGGGTTTATTCTGTACACTTTAATTATCCAGCTCAAATAAGATTTTATTGTCTAAACACTACAGTTGTGTACTACCTGGATGGTTATAACGGTCTTCCCTTTCAAAGTTTAAATTTGCAATATTTTAAGAAGTCATAGTAACATAAGAGGGGATCAAATAATTAATTTCCCCTATATTTTAAAAGAGACAGATTATGATACTTCGATGAGAATAACTTATAAATAAAATAAGTTGAAAGAGATGGAGCCGATAATAAATTATGATATTTAGTATTATATTTATAATAAAATAAAATGGTTCTATTATATTTTATTTTTTAAATATACAATATATATTTACATATATTTTTTTTTTTTTAATATATATATATATATTCAAACAAAAAAATATTTTAAGAAAATATCATAAATTTTATAATTTTCTTTTCATATGTCATTAATTATTTTACTTGAGTATATATTTTTTCTTATTTAGTCAATTTAAAATAATATTATTATCTTTTTTTTATGAATTTTTCATTGTATTAACTAAATAATAACAAGTTTCATAAGAAATATGATATTTTTCGGAAATATCTTTATATGATTAACCTTATTAAATTTCTTTAAAAAGTTAAAATTTATATTCATCGCTGTATTTAGTAGGTCTTAAATTATCTTGATTTCCGTTATTTTAATTACTATCTTTCTCTTTATTATTTTTTAATTGATATTTTTATGAATGTAATAAATAATATGCAGTTCCATAATTAATTCCATATTTTTTACATAATTTTCTATATGAAATATTATCTTTTTAAGCCTCTTAGATTAATTTTTTGCGTAAACTATTTGAATATTTCTTCCTTCTTACCTTCCTATTTGTATTTTGTTGATTTTCTGTTTATTTTTCATCTGATTCTATTGTATTTGATACTTAATTTTAGGAAAAATATTCTTATTCGTCATTCGATACGGATTCTATTTTCATTGATTCTTCTTTTTTTTGAAAAGAAGTCAAATCATAATTTATATCGGATACTATTTTAGTTAGAAATTTATATTCTTTTGTTATAAAATCCCATGAGGATCTTCTTTCATTTTAATCTGTTAACAAATATTGAATTTTTTATAAGGAAAATGTTATTTATGTGGCTTTTTATTCAAATTTCTGAATGTTTATGTTTTAGTTTTCTTTATTTTTAATTAAATTCATTTTTTTTATTATATTTGTAAAATAATTTTTATTATAACAAAGTTATATTTTTATATATATATATATATATATTAAATTTTAAATGTTATTTAAATTAATTATTTTAAAAAGTGTAAGGTTAATAATATATTCAGTTAAATAATATATTTATAATTTTTTTTTTTAATTTAATTTTAAATTATTTAATTTAATATAAATAAGGAAATTTTAAATTATTAAATTGAAAATTTTTATTTAAATGAAATTATTTTTTTATTCCAGATTTTTTCTTTTTATTTTTGTTATTAAATTAATTAATTTAATTTAAAAACAACAAATACAGAAAAAATTTAAACTTATGATTGTTTAAAAATTTAATATTTAGAATTTTATAATATAATATTACAATATTTATATTTATTTTTATATTTTCTTTGCTTATTTTGATAAATAAATATTATTTGAAGAATTTTGTAGAATTTTATTAATAATTTTAATTTTTTTAAAAAAAATAGATATACATTTAATATCATATTAAATAATATTTTGAATATTTAAAGATTTTTTAAAAATAACTTTTTTTAATAAATATAAATACGTATTTAAAAAAATATATATATATTTTATGTTTTTGTCATTATTTTTTTTAAAAAATTTAATGATATAAATAGATATGATAATAATAAAAAAAATAAGTTATTTTTATAATTAATTTTATAAACAAAATCATGTTTAAATTTATAGTTTTATACTATTAATTTATAATATGTATTATTTTTTATTTATAAATATATTTTATTATTAAAAATTTAAAATTAAATATTTATTTTATTAATTTTTTTACTTAAAAATAAAATTATTTAATAATTTATCATATAAAAAATATTTTTATTTAATAAAATTTGTAAAAATATTAAAAAACAATATTTATTTTTTTCTATTTTGTTTATAAATCTAAATATCATTAAATTAAATATTTTTTTTTTTTAAGAAAAATACATTATATAGATTTAAATATCATATTCTATATTTTTTTTTATAAAATAAACTAATAAATAATATATATTTAACTTAAAATATGTATTATTAGATTTTAAATTAATATTTAATATTTTATTATAATATTAATTTATCTATATATATTAATATTTATAATAATAAATTTATTTTATTAATTTAAATTAATTCAAAAAAGAATTTTTAAATTAAAATAAAATAATATAATTTAAAAATCAATATATTTAAATAATTAATAATTTAATATATTAATTATAAATTTATTTTAAAAATTATATAATAATCAAATAAAATAAAAACTAAAAACATTTAAATATTATATATATTAATAAATAAATAAAATAAAAATAAATATCTAATAAAAAAATAAAATTATATCAATTTTTATAAATATTTTTAATTTATAAATTATTATTTTATT